TTTATTTTTACAGGTGAAGGTGATACCACCCCTACAATTGTCAATTTGGACCGTAAGTAATCTTCAAGTTGTCAAGTATATTTGACTTTTTTTTGAGTCACAAATGGTTTCATTTTCTTCAAAAACAGGATGTGTTAAAAGTTAATTCAGAAAAGAAAGTTACGAGTAACTCTTTGGGTTATATAAAGTATTTAGCCACTATAATAGCGTCCTTTACAAAGTCAGTTTATTTGCTTTTATTTTATTTTTTTATTATTTTTTATTTTTTTCAATGCATTTCAACAATTAAGCAAAGCAGGAAGAGGAGTGGTAGTTGCTTCACAGATACAACTCTATGTCTGGATTTCTCCCTCTGAGCTTCAGTTGTGTGTGTGTGTGTGTGTGTGTGTGTGTATGTGTGTGTTGTGTGTGTAGAGACAAGTGTTCAGCACGTGCACACATGACCCATGCATATGGAGGAGAAGGCAGAGGACAGTCTCTGATGTTCAAGTGTAGTTCCTCAGAAACTGCTGACCTTGCTTTTTGTTTTTGTTTTTTGAGACAGGGTATTTTTGTACATGTTTATGTGTATGCATGAGTGTCTGTGTGGGTAGTATGTACACTTCAGTGCAGTTGCCAAAAGGAACAGAAGAGGGCATCATATACCTTGGGGCTGGAGTTATATGTGGTAGTCAGCCACCTGATGTGGGTGCTGGCAACCAAACTCTGGTCTTCTGCAAGAGTGGTATGCACTGACCATTTCTGCAGCTCTTACTTGCTTTTATTTTAAAATACACATTTCCTTGTAGCTGTGGAACAGTCGAAGGAATTGCATATAACTTTGGAAAGAACAGTTAAATGTTTTTGATTTGGGGGAGGATGAATACAATGGACCACAAATATATACATCACTTTCCAAAAGACATTAGATTCCTAAAAATAGAAATAAAGAGACCAGGTTTTGGACAGTTCTTAATATTCCTATTCTGTTCTGCCTATAAATATCTTCAAATATCTGTGGTCTGTTAGGGCAACAAATGACACCATCTGAGATGTCCACTTAATCCTTAGAATAAGAATGTTAGAAGCACTTGTTTTTGATTGCTCACATATTTGTTGGTCAGAAAGAAGTTATTCAAATATTTTGTTTTTAAAAACCTACCTGCTATGCCCCAGGCTGAGGAAGCAAGTGGAAATCTAATATAGACTATGGACAGAGGACAAGAAAAAAGATAAGAAACATAGCAGAGGGTCAAGGAAACATTGATTCCCAAGAGTCTGAATTAGGACATTTGCACATAATGATCTGGTTATAGTAATGCCATTAATACATGCATTCCATAAAGATAATGCTGGTAACAGATTTCAAAATAGCGCTACATTGTTGCTGTGCAAATTCAGAATAGCCACAGCTTTGTATTTTCCCCCAACTCTGATTATTTCTTTTAACGTTGAGGTTATTGAAGAAAACGCATTAGCATTGGACTTGAATTTGTTCTTGGTGCTTGGTGAGCAAAGCCATCATCACTATCTCTACAAGCCTGTCTGCCTCAGGTTGATTAGTTTTTTGGTATCACTCAACAACAAAAATGAGAACAGGAAATGCCATGGGGTTGATGTACAACTGTGGTTATACAATATTCTTGTACAAAATGTTGTTTTAATATAGTCTCAGTAGCTACATTTGTCTAGCTGTCATTGAACTTAAGAAAACTAAAGGGCATGGAGCATTGGGAAATGTCTTGACAAAATGTTGTGGTTTGTTTTTAGATCCTGTAATATCTTGTGCCAAAACAAAACAACTGCGAGTTGTAAATGGCATTCCAACACGAACAAATGTAGGATGGATGGTTAGCTTAAAATACAGGTAATTACTAGTCATCACAAATCATATATAGTCTATTTGTAAAAGCATATTTGCCACATAAGATTACATGTGGTCACGAAGACTGTGCCCTCCCAAGGCACTCAGCTGGGGAGGTGAGGGGGACTGATCCTGTCATCCATACTCTATCCCCTGGACTTTACAGCATGTGCCCACATAACCTTTGTGAGTTTTCACGAAGCTGCCATATATTCTGCCATTGACACTGATTCCAGGTGACACTCATTTTGATGAACTAGGGTACAATGACACTAAAGACCTACTTACACCTTAATGTCACTAAGATAGCTGTGGTACATATATTAATTTTCTAGTCTATAATATTATAATTTTATTTTCTAAGATGTTTATACATATTTGCACAAATTATGCATTTGTCTTTTTGTTTGTGACATCACTGAAATGAAAAAATAGCAATTTTAGAATATTTTATTATTAAAATTAATAACCTATTTTAATAGTTGAATGGTTTTGATTTAATAATTATCTCAGATACAGAATCTTTATTATTTCTCAATGATCTTAAGAATTAATTGCATATTCTGGGGCTGGAGAGATGGCTAAGTGGTTAAGACCACTGACTGCTCTTGCAGAGGACCCGGGTTTGATTCCCAGCACCCACATGGCAGCTATGAACCATCCTTAACTCTGGTTCCAGGGGAATCCAAAGCCCTCTTCTGACCTCCGTGGCATTGCAGGACACGGGTGCACTCACATACATGCAGGCAATACACTCATACACACAAAATAAAAATAATAAAATATTTTTAAAAGAACTAATTGCATATTCAAATTATACAATGATAGCAAGTTTAATAATTGTATTATAAAATTAAATATGGAAAATATGAATTAATGTCTGATCTTGCAACTTTTATATCCTGTGTAATTATTCTGCAGGGTCTTTTCAATCCAAGTTCTTAGTAACAACAGCTGTTTGGTTGTTTTTCCAAAGCACATATTGAAGGGAACAGAAGTTAAAACTCAACATATACTGTCATCCTCCTGTGTGGTAAAGCCATAAATAAATACAGTCTTCATCTGAGGCTCTTCTACTGTTACCCTCTGAAGGACCGAGCAGCTGTACTCCTTGGAAATCTGAACTGTAAAGAGTTGTAGTCCTTCCACAGTTCTGCCAAAAAGGAATGAATTTAGAGATTTTTGAAATCAGCAAATAAATGTCCTAGTACTTATTCTTCTCTCCCACTACTGTATGATTTCCTAGATGATTTGTCTTGCAAAGTTATTTTACTTTCACAAATGAAGCATATCATTGACCTTGCACTTGCCAGATTTGTTCAAGCTCAGTTGTATTTTATTGAATCAAAGCTAGAGTGAGGACAATGTAGTTCAGTGTAGAACAATTTCTTAGCATGTGTAAGGCCCTTGCATATCTATGGCACCACTAAAAAGAAAAACCAGTAACTGCTGAGAAAGAAGGGACTAGTGCTAAAGTAAAAAGAATTGCTGCCACCGAATAGCTTTTAGAGTTGCTCAATAAAACCTCTAATTTGCATCTATCATAATCAAATGCTGAGTTTTAAATACTTTTATTCACTCTAATTATCCCACATTTGCAATGTGTAGAGGGACATGTGCATAAAGGTGAGTGTTGGGAGTAAATACTGGTGTGTAATGGCTGTATCTTTATATTATGAACTTGATGCCATATACTTGAAAGAATAGTCACATTATGAAAAATCTTTAATGCTGGAATCACTCTTCAGATAAAAAAGCTTCTGCTCATATTGCTCTAATTAAGCCGATTTCTTCATTTCCTTGCCAGTTCATTTATTTTTGACAAATGAAGCTGTAGGTTGTGCACTAATTGGCAGACACTTTTCTGCACAGATGTTACTTTTTCCTTTTTCTCTTGTCATAGAAATAAACATATCTGTGGAGGATCATTGATAAAGGAAAGTTGGGTTCTTACTGCAAGACAGTGTTTTCCAGCTAGGTAAAGTGTTTTTTAAATCAATATTTGTTTTAGAATTTAGAATATGTATGCCTTCTATTTTTCTGTTAAGCATGGTATGTGCATTTATTTTACAGGGGCTTGCCAGCATGAGTTGAATCCTTTAATTTTGTTTAAAATTTTGAAAAGGTGTGTGTGTGTGTGTGTGTGAGTGTGTGTGTGTGTGTGTGTGTGTGTGTGTGTGTGTGTTTCTGTGTGTGTTTCTTGTGCACCCTACAGCATGGATGTGGGAGTCATAGGACAATTTGAGGAAGTCAGTTCTTTCTACCATGTGGGCCCCAGGGATGGAACTCAGATTATCAGGCTTGGAGGCAAGCACATTTACATGCTAATCCATCTCGTTGGCTGTTCCTTTTAAAAATTAGTTATAAAAAATTGACTTTGGGGCTGGAGAGATGGCTCAGCAGTTAAGAGCACTGGCTGCTCTTTCAGAGGACCCAGGTTCGATTCCAGTACCCACATGGCAACTACAAACCGTCCTTAACTCCACTTCCAGGGGAATCCAAAGCCTTCTTCTGACCTCCATGGAATTGTACGACACAGTTGCACTCACATATATGCAGGGAATACATACTTAGACATAAAATAAAAATAATAAATTTTTTTTTTAAATTTTGAGTTTATGGACTCCTTCTAGTTAGTGCTCGTTCAGCTCACTTTCTGTGATTGGCCTTGACCTTACTTGAGAAAAGTAATTGTTTAAATTAGGTAAAACAAGCAAAAATAATCTGTTCCAACCTTCTGCTCAGAATTTCTGAGAATTACTTTTTCCGGTATCAACAGGCTTCTCTGGATCTTTGTGTATAACCTGGGAATCACTTTCAATGGAAGTTAGCCTATAGGAACACTAAAGAGGCAGGCAACACTCACAGCTTTCCTCCTGTTTCTCCTGTGTCGCTTTCATTTTGTTAAAAATTTCAACATTAGTGATGAAACAAATATATGCACTTCTGAGATATTTTGCAAGTGACTTAGTTTCCAGTGAGTGTAATTAAAAGTATTTTTAAATGAATAGTCCTTTAGAATTCTGCACCTTAAAGCTTTCTCTGCTTCAATACACCTGTAGCATTTCAAATGTCCTTAGCAAATGTGTTGCTCTGTGTCGTATTTTGAATCAAATTTAAGAGCTAGGTGTTTATCTCTCCTTATAAGCTAAAGTGACAGCAGAAATGAATAATATTAAATAATTTAAAATAACTTGCATGCTAATTCTCTGCTTAGAAACAAAGACCTGAAAGATTATGAAGCCTGGCTTGGAATTCATGATGTTCATGGAAAAGGAGAGGAAAAACACAAACAGGTCCTAAACATTTCCCAGCTGGTATACGGACCTGAAGGGTCAGATCTGGTTTTGCTGAAGCTTGTGAAGTAAGTCTGGAGAGGATTTTTAAAAATTATGCTTGATGGAAACAAGAATTGTTGAAACATTTTCTTCAACCATGAGTCTCTTTATCTATCATGTAACTTTCTTATTATCCCATATGTCATATACATGACATGTGCATATGTGTAGATAGAGGTATTCATATAGTTTTAAAATATCAATAGTGGAATTTGGCACAAGTCTTACCAGCTAAAAACTGAAACTAATGAGCTGGAGAGTTGGTTCAGTGATTGAGAGCATTGACTTCTTTTGCAGAGCACACAGGTTTGATTAGCAGCACCAATGTGGTGGCTATGAACTGTCCTTAACTCCAGTTCCAGGGGAATCCAACACCCTCTTCTGATCTCTGCAGCATTGCAAAACAGGGGTGCACTCACATACATGCAGGCAATACACTCATGCTCATAAAAATATATAAAAACCCTGAAATTTACTAAGCAACTATTTGATAGCTTAGAAAAACTAAGATAGTGCTTCTTAGCACAATAAAATTTTTTTATTAAGTTTAGCAAGTAAATGATTATGATCTGTTGCAAGTTTTGTCACTATATATTAGATAGTCTTTTTCTATTGTTTTAATAAGCAAGACTGCATTATTTCTAAATTTCATAAGTTTCTGTTGACTTGAATCCCACAGAGAACTCACCGTTGTATTTTCTCTTCTCAGACCTGCTGTCCTAGATGGTTTTGTCAGTACCATCGATTTACCTAATTATGGCTGCACAATTCCTGAAAAGACTACCTGCAGTGTTTATGGCTGGGGCTACACTGGATGTAAGCTACTTTTTAAGAGATGAGGCAATATCATGCTTACTTTACATATAAGAATCTTCTGTTTTTGTTTTATTTGCCTTTATTCAGTGCTCCTTAACATATATATATATATATGTATATATATATATATTTTTTTTTTTTTGCACAATTCCAGTGATCAACTCGGATGGTTTATTAAGAGTAGCACATCTCTACATCATGGGGAATGAGAAATGCAGTCAGTACCATCAAGGGAAGGTGACTCTGAGTGAGTCTGAATTATGTGCTGGAGCTGAAAAGATTGGATCAGGACCATGTGAGGTAAAAAGGAAGCTCTTTAGTAAAGAGTGATTGAAGGTGGGGAAGGTGGTTTGTTTTCCTGTGTGTTTTTGTTTATTTTTATCAAAAAGAAATACTTATGTACCAACCTGCACTCAGAGAAGGGAACTGCAAAGATGACCCTGTGTAACTTTTGTGCATTTCTTTTAAATGAATAGTGAGTCAGCCCATATTTCATTTAAAACAAACTTGGAAAACATTTGTCTCAAAAGAACAATAAACAAACATAGCCAAAAATCTTAGGGAAGCTGTTCAGATTAGAAGCAGCCAATCAGTTTTCTAATGTTTTTCTAAATTTTTCTGATTTTCCCCAATCTCCCTAAATGAACCTCATTAATAATATTAAGAGGTGCATTTCTGTTTTTAAATTCTTAAGGGTGCTTGGGTTAGACTGTGTGCCTGGGGAAATTCTATTTAAAAAAGTGAAAAGGTCAAAGTTAGTGATTTTAAGAACTTGAATATTTTCATTTGTTAGGCAACTGTTCTTACAACTTGGTATGGTTCCAGTCCTTGTTGTACATGAACAAGCTGTTAAACTATCATTTTAGATATATTTTGAATGTGAAAGACATGTTCTGCAAGCTTCTTCATTGTGATGTTTTGGAATACTCTGTGCACTGAATTTGACAATAGTGAGAGATTTGTTAATAAGTAAGAGAATGCATGTCTTAAGTACAGAATATATACACTATTGTTCTCTGAGGTTTTATTCCTGAAACGAAAATGATTATTGAGTTACAGTGTTTTCATAACTGCTTAAAAATGATTATGTGTTTACAAATAATTTTTTCATATTTGGTTTTTGCCAGAAAATGAGTATTAATACAATATAATGAGGGGATGCAAGGAGAACACACACAATTCTTTGTAAATCCCAAGAGCTCTGTGAGCTGTTTCAAATTAGACAGGCTCATGCAGGTCCTCTAGAGTCAGTCTGCCTCTCCATTACCATCACCAAAGTCTTCACAACTCTTTTCCAGAAATCACCTTCTCTATGTTTCTTTTTGTGTATGTTTTTAGTTTCTTTGATTTTCTCTTGATTTTTTTTGTCTTTTTAAGCCATATCTCCAATTTTTAATCTCTTTGAAAAGACTTCACCTTACATTGATGTCCTGTCATCTCAAGGCATTTATCCTATTGAATACTCACCGGTTCTTAAGTAATCCTGTCAGTTCCCCCATCCTTTCATCTCTCCTTCCCTCCAAGTTTTCCTCCTCACTTCACACTCATCTGGCATTTGGCTGTTTAATAACTAAAATAAATTTGGAGAAAATGCTCCTAAATATTTATATGGTAGTGATAGGATCACATCCACCAAAAGTATCTAAAGACAGTTATTTTGAATAGTTCATATCAGGAATCACTGATGTATTATTTAAACATCAATTTTATTCCTTAATGGGGCCTAATTTATACAAAAATATTAAGATAAATGTTTTCTGTGCTGTTTGACATTTAACTTTAAGTCAATCTTAATTTTCCCACTTAAAAAATAAAGCTTCTCTTTTTTCTATACACAACACAGAGAAAACTTTTGCAGCAATTTTTTTACTATGTCACTTCTAGGGGAAAATAAAGAGAGTTTGGAACTTTTTTATATATAAAGATGTCCAAAGGTAGTCATTGTGTTCTTTTTAAAAATTGTTCAATTTCATTATTTATTTTTATTTTATGCATGTGAGTGTTTTTTCTGCATGCATGTAAGTATATCAAGTACATACAATGCTGTGGAGGTCAGAAGAAGATGGTTGATCTCTTGGAATTGAAGTCATGGATTGTTGTGAGCCACCAAGTGGGTGCTGGGAACTGAACCCAGGTCCTCTCCAAGAGTAGCCAGCGCTTTTAACCACTGAGCTATCTCTCCAGCCCTGTCACTGTATTCTTTAAGGCTTGCATGGCACATAAAAATTATGCAGCACAGTTGCAATAGTTATGTATAACTTTCTATGTAATATGAATATGCATATTCATATATTTAACATGGTTTTCTATTCATATATACAGTATATGTATACATACAAATTAATACATATTCACTTGTCATCTGTCTTGATCTGACGATATAACAATGCTGTCATATAAGATATGAAATCAGACTACCCTCCTTAGCCTTGAAATCAGACTACCCTCCAGAGAGAAGGCATAAAACCTAGCTATATTATTTGCTAATATCAATAGTGAGTGGAGGAATATTTCTTTCCTGAAAAAGCAGTTTCCAAATAATAAATAAAATGATCCTTTCAAGTTTAAGTTTTTTAAATAGTAACTTGGTAAGATCAACTGTTGGGAGAAGGGAGAGTTTTAGAAAGAAGAGAAAATATAATGCAAACTAATCATTAATATCATGTTATTGTAAGGAGATTTCTTTATATCTTGCTATTATCTACATTTTTTACTTTTTCTATATTGAATATATGTTGAATATCAACACCAAAATTAATGTAAAATTGACATTATTGAACTACTATACACTTGAGCTGCAAGAGTGGGTGCAGTTGGAGAATTAATATTGCTTTTTATTTCTGAAATAATACATTGTTGTTCTATCTTTACTCCCTAGGGGGATTATGGTGGTCCACTTATTTGTGAACAACATAAAATGAGAATGGTTCTCGGTGTCATTGTTCCTGGACGTGGATGTGCCATCCCTAATCGTCCTGGTATTTTTGTCCGAGTGGCATATTACGCAAAGTGGATACACAAAGTAATTTTAACATACAAGGTGCAACAGCCATAGCAGAAGTAACCACTCTTGAAACATCTTTCCACATATGATAGTTTTTCATGAGGATTTCAGAGAATTCAAGATTAAAAGGTCACCTAAAACAAATCTAAAACAACTACTTGAGTGTCCTGAGTGTTAAGATGCTCATTAATATATTTGGATGTTTTCTGTTGTTTTGTTTGTCAGTGCTATTTTGTAAATGTTGAAGTGAAGTGAGGTACCAGTAAGTGCAGTAACATTTCTCCTGAAGATACTTGAATGGTTTAAAAAATAAAAAGGTATAAATGCTAGAATATAAAAGATTTAAACAAAATGGTCACTTAATCACTCTATGCTGCTTTTCAGGTTAATCTCATAATGATCAGTAAATCATAAGTTAAACATTATTTTAACCTCACCAAAACAATTTACACATTGTACTCTTAAGTTGTAAGTCTGTGTTAAATTTTATTATGTTTCATGTGTCACATCTTATAGTTCATTCATTTCTACACACTATGTACTCTTCAAACTGGCACACAAATATCCTTTTCCAAAAACATATGTACCCATGACACATGACTGAGTACACAAGTGGTATATAATACAGTCCAAATTGTGGTGTATCTAGTGTAATCTCTAAATATTTTAGAGATATGTATCTATAATTATACTTCAAGAAAAATATAAAATGTCCTAAAGGTCAATGAAAACATTCAGGAAAGTTGCAAGGTAGAAGTGAATATCCTCTGTACATATCTATAGATGACTTCCTCTGGTAATCATTTAAAGTGAGAGCAGAAAACATTGAATTAAATAGTGCCTACCATAGATGTTTATTAATATTTATTATTCTACTTATTTCATGTGCTTTGTAATTCCTAAAAGGAAAAAAATAATATGTGTATTTGTATTATTTCTTCCTTCCAAATTTGGGGCTACTTATTTATGCATGCTATTTGAAGATCTATTTTCCTGAATTGTTTCTTACATTCTCAAACGTGTGTCTTATTGAATACATTTAGTAGTGTCTTTGTCTTTAAAACTATATTTAAATAGGTTAATTTCAAAACTTGTTACTCTGATTGGCTTCTAGCTCATTCTCCTTAAATTGAAAAAATATATATTTAACATAATTTCCATGTCTGTAAAGTTTTATGAATATTCCTTCATTAAATTATACATATTTTGGAGGAAAAATAGTCAAAATACATTCCTCAATCTGGAAATTCTTAGTTGGTTAGTCATGGGAAAAATATGAAAACAAAGTAGAACTAGTTTTCTTAAATTCTTTAGTGAATTATTTTTAAAAGTATGGTTGAATCTTCTAAGTCAGTTATTTTATCAAGATTTCTTCATATTATCTTATTTCTTTCAGCAAAGCTCTTTCCTAAAGTCATGAGGAATATTCATTTAAATTTTATATTCTGCTTACTGACAAGCAAATTATATTTATTATTGTATGTGCCATGACTTGCTAACAGTCATATATTTATCAAGACATGAAATACTGAATAATAAAACAGGTTCTAAATTTTCACAGTCTTCCCATATGAACTAAGAAAATTCAAAGTTTATTATTTGAGTGTTTTGAATACAGGATTCCTATTTTTCAGATTTTGGTCTCTTAAATCATCTTTAGGTCAAAGAGCCAAACAATGCCCTAGGATGTTACCATGTATGCTGTTCAAGATAGAGTAAAGTGGCTTTAAATTTATGGGAGATTTAGTTCATAGAGTATAGGAAAACAAATCCAGAAATTATTACAAAACTGTGATATATATGTACATATATATGTGCACATATATGTTTGTAATAATACAAGCCCCGTCTCAAGAAACAGTGAAGCAGAGAGATCAAACTGGTTGCCTGGCCACATCCTTTTATTCATTACATTTTTCTTTCCCTTCTATAGTACATAATTTTAACAAACACAGAAATTAAAAAATATATATTGTTAAAATACTAAAGTACTTTTCATAGTTTCTTCTTACTGGATTGGCTAAATTTTAGTCACATGTAAATTTTATTGATAAAACTATTGTAACAATTGATACTTCAAAATACTGACATTTTACAATACTTCTTTTAATGTATTTTCCTATAAATATCTGTGGAAAGAAAAATAGGAATTATCTAGATACAAAATACAGCTAAGTTTTCAGATACTTTGGAATCAATGTTTTCTATTTTATTAAAGGGCAAGCACAACATCAATAAATCAGCAACCATGGTGCACAAAGCAACTCTCCCTGAGGGTTCCTTTGCAATAGAGGGAAGTGGTTAGTGTTAACCGTGAGCAGAATCCTTAATGTCTTACTAGCTAGGAGAGGGTAAAGTCATCTGATAAATGATACTGTGTATTGGATGGTTTTCTATGAAAAAGAATTCAAGATAAAAGAAATCAAAAGCTCTGTTCATCTAGAATTATATTTTATTTTGCATCATGGACAAGAGGGCCTTTTAAATTAAGAGCTTCAAGGTTGGTTTTGTTTTGACTGAATAACGGTTATACACTGTTATAATTGTAGACATTTTCTTATGTCTACCAGGAATAGAAATGTAAAACTATTAGTCATAAGCCTCTGCTGTGCAGGGGATGATAATCCTTTTGTATATTTCTTTAATGTTATTATAAAATGCGTAATGACTTTTACCTATTTGCTGTAGGCAGGTCCTCAGTATAAGAGTTTATACCGAGTCAGTCTCTAGTATTAACAGGCTCTTGTTTGCTATCTGAGTGTTTCAAACTATAAGAATGAGAGACACTGGAAGGCAAGAAAAATAACAATAATAGCATGTGATGGCAAAATTGTATTTCACTTATTCCTGTGGATATTTCTTGTTGGTACCAATGGTACTATACAAAGTGAATGTTTCATTCTCTTGAAAAGAGCACTGTCAGGAGTGAAAAATTACCATGAGGCATTTTCTTATTGTTTCTATTTCTTTTTTTTTTTGAAAGAAATGCTAGCATGGTAACTTACAGAACTTGAAATAAAAAGTTTTAATGTGATCTCATGCTAAGAAAAAGCAAACCTTAAATTGAGTTACTGAAGTTCAAAAATAACTACTTCCATTCATTTTAATTTTAGAACCACTTGTTTATATTTATAGAAAGCTCATAAAATATAATGAATTTGAGTACAAAGGCAACATATTTGCCTTTTTTAAATACATAATTTTTAAAAAATTACTGTTCATGATTAAGTCCAAGAAAGAATTTATCTTTCAAAATTTAACTGAATTTAGAACCAAGAATTTACTAATACAAACCAAAAAGCTATTAAAACATCCTGGATCCTTAACTCTTGACAGTGTCACTTTTATGTAGGTTCATTTCCATTTGCACAGAAAGTTTCTGTCTTTAGGAAACTGAAAATGGAATGCTGTGGATATTATGACTGTTGTCTGTGTAAATAAGACAATGATAAGCTGCCTATTGAGTGGTAGAGCTGGATGCTTACTCCAGAAAGGGAACACTGTGGTGATGACTTGTATTATAGTCTGTAGTTAATAAAGTTGTTATTTTTATAACCATGATTACATTCTTATTCTTAATAACAATAAAATATTTTACCTAAAAGTCTCCCTTCTTTTTTATAATTATATGAATAGATATTTTCTATCTGTCCTGTGACTTTAAATGTGGAAACTTCAAAAACAGGGTTTCTTTGCCAAAAATAACATATATTTTGTTGTAAGAAATATATAACTTCAGCCAGCTGTGGTGGCACACGCTTTTAATCCCAGCACTCGGAACGCAGAGGCAGGTGGATCTCTGTGAGTTCAAGGCCAGCCTGTTCTACATAGTGAGTTCCAGGACAGCTGGGGCTACATGGAGACCCCTGTTAAAAGACACAAACAAACAAACAAACAAACAAACAAAAACAGAAAGAACAAAGAAATGTGTAACTTCTTTAAGCTAAGTAAAATTTTTAATTTTTTTAAAGATTTATTTATTTTTACATATATGTGTGTGTGCATGAGTTTATTTATGTGCACCACATGTGTACAGATATACGTGAAGTCCACTAGAGAGTATCAGATCTCCTGGAACTTGAGTTACAGGTGGCTCTGAGCTGCCTAATGTGGGTGGTGGGAACTGAACCCAGATCCTCTGGAAGAGTAGTAAGTTCTCTTAACTACTGAGCCATCACTCTAGACCCTGAAATATCATTTTATTCTAGCTTCTGTCCATGGCATTGTCAGGGATCATCAGAAAGTCATTACTCTCTATGTGTTTTGATTTTTTTCAACTGTAAGGTAGGATTTTGTTAATGTTCATATTTTTTAGAATGGTGTTATGCTGCATTTTGCAACTGTATACAAGATATTATGTGTGTCATTGAATTTTCCTTATAACTCTATGTTATAAAAATGGTTTAAAATTATTCAATTATTTTATGATATCTTTACAAGATACTCATTAATTCTAGAATACATATGATTTCACAAATATCATGTAATTCAAAGTGGAAGAACTAGTTATTAATGTTGTAACCAACAGCTCTATAACACTAAGATATTAGTCATACACCTCTGCCATGCAGGGGATGATAATCCTTTTGTATATTTCTTTAATGTTATTGTAAAATGCATAATGGCTTTTACCTATTTGCTGTGGGCAGGTCCTCAGTATAAGAGTTTATACTGAGTATAAATTGTATTATATTGTTTGTGCCCAAAGAATTGCTGTTATATTAAGTATTCTTGTTTACTGATTGAAAATGATAATTCATATATCTAATGTGATAGCTACCATAAAATATCTGATCTTTTTCTTAATTATGTTTAAAGAATATGCACACTTACTCCTTTATGATGTTAGTCTAATTAAAAATATATACAATGAGGGGCTGGAGAGATGGTTCAGCAGTTAAGAACACTGGTTGTTCTTGCAGAAGACCTGGGTTCAAATTCCAGCACCCACATGGCAGCTAACAACTTTTGGTAACTCCAGTTCCAGGGGATCCGATAGCCTCTTCTGTCCTCTGCAGGCATTGGATGACATGGCTGCACTTACATATATGCAGGCAATACACACATACACGTAAAATAAAAATAATAAATAATAAATATTTTAAAAAACTATATATACAATGAATTTTCTAAAAAATTTCCTTAATTTCCTACAAGTCTTTATCATTCCAAATATGTATTATCTTTTCAGTAAAACATCAAGAAACTTTAAATGATATTTGAAAAGTTCCTCAGTAAGGAAAGCCTAAGCAAGTGATAAAGGTGTGTGTAGGTTTCCTATGATAAATAAAGGATGAGACAAAAATAATATACACATAATCTTAAAATTTCTAAGGTCATTGTTTAGTCAACTAGTTTAAGGAGAGAGAGAGAGAGAGAGAGAGAGAGAGAGACAAGGTTTATCTGAGAACATTTGGTTTTTTACCCAAGCTTTATCTACATAGCACATGGTAATTAAAAGTACAGACTGGTGGAACTAACCTTATTGGATGTTTAACATCCATACTTTGGAGGCCTATACTAATCTGGCAAGAGGGCCTTAAAGGACAAATTTTGCCCCTTGCCCTCCAAGGCCGACTAAGTTCTAGGGGACTATGGAACATCTCTCAAAATATCCTGCAACTGTGGTGAGTTCTCTGCATCAACAAGGACATGGATATCCCACAGATGGATTGGAACCAATGTCCAGTCTACAAAGAGAAGGGTCAACTCAGAGGAAACATTCCTTCTAGGCTTCCAAGTGAAGCCAGCCATGGTCGAGTAGGACCTCTGACTTGTCACATAGATGGAACTCATAAAAGACCGGAGCCAGGGGCTCCTCCCAAACCCCTGTGACCCCTGAGGAACAGATCCTCAAATGATCTTAAGTGTAAAAATAAATTGATTTATTTGGGTCAACTGTATGGTCTTAAACACCCAAAAGGAAAGTATAACCAAAGAGTAAAGTCATCAGTATATTTCTTTAAGAGTTCTAGGGATTGCACTTCCCAGACATTAGGCTTAAGCTCATATAAAAAGTTGTTTAGGTAATTATTTCTCATTGGTGATTTTGTTCCTAATCAGAAAGTGCTGCTCAGATGTAAGACTTCAAATCTTGGTCTGCATTACTGTCATGCCCACCTGTAGCTAAGGGAGACAACCCATTATTGTTCTAAAATGATGGCTAAATTTGTTTTCTCCCCCTATCTAGAAGCCTTTGAGAGGGAACTGACACTGATTCTAACCACTGCAACAGCTATCAAAATGCCTGAAAGCAAATCCTGAATCCATCACTGTTAAGTTCAGTCCTGGCAGACAAAAGAAAAATGAGGAGGAACCCAATAGAGGGATGCTTTTGGAAGATCATGTCAAAAAGTTCCACTGAACTCTCATATGAATATTTGAAAATTGCCCTGTTCTGACTTTTTTCTAGTTCCCTCTCTAGAACTTGTAATGCTAATTACTCTTGCCTTTAATTCTCCTTCACATATCCTATTCACCAATTAAGGGCTTTCTTTTCCCCCTACAAATAAGAGTTATATGATTTGGAAGTCTTTTAGATAGACCCACTGAAGGGGTAACCCAATTGCCTCAGCCTGCATCCCTGTTCAGCATGGAAGAAATCAGACCCGTCTGTGTCTGGATTCCCTATCTGCAAGCTGGGTAAACTCTTCAGAGGATAGTGTGATAAGAATAGGAGGTAGGAACTGGCTAAGCAGTTAGTGTAAAAAGACCCCCCCCAAAAGTAACCAGCTTCTTGGCTAAAAGTCAAAATGTCCTTGGGCCTCTTAGCAGCATACACTGTTCCAAAGATCAAAAATGTCAAAAATATTTGGGAGCTCTTATAAAATCCTTATAAGATTTTAGGGTTACCTCTTCAGAGGGGGGAATGTTAGAGTAGCAAAAAGCCCCATAAAAGAAGAAGAAAGAGCACATGAAGTCATCAGAAAAAAGTGACAGGGAGATATGGGAGGATTTGGAGGGGAGGGAGTGGACATGGATTTGATCAAAACACCTTATATGCATGTTTGAAACTCTCAATAAATTATTTTTTAAAGAATTTCCTCAGGAAGATAAAAAATTACATAAATTTATCTGAGTTCTGCTGAAAAATAAGCTTGGAAGATGTTGGGTTCCAAATGCAGTCTTATTTACTCTTGTAGATTATGCTTCTCTAATTAATCACTACTTTTTTACTCTCTTAAGGGAATTATTTATTTGTAAGCCTAAGGGATGGCAATGGCCTACTCATACTTTCTTGTATAAGTGCTTATGGCCAAGTGCACTGGGTAGCATTGAATTTATTTTTCAATTGTTGAATCCAACTAATATTTTGAATATGTAATTAAAAATATATTTTTACTTATTCTTTGAAAATTTCATATATCAATACAATATATTTTGATCACACTCACCACTCAAACTCCTCCTGAATTCCCGGCCCCATATCCATCTCCCAACATAACATCATTTTTTAAATCCACTGAGACCTATTAGTACTGGCTGCATATTCATGGGTCTGAGGTAGTCCTCCAGGCATTAATTAATCATTACTTGTCTGGTCCTGAAAGAATCACCTCAATCTACATTTCCTCTGTGCTTTAGTCTAGGAGTTCCATCATCCTTCTCTGTCATTAATTTCCAAACAGCACAAGCCTTCACCTATGTAATCCTAAAACAGCTCTCTACACCCCTTTAATCAATGACAAACTTGTTACATCTCAGTAACAGAAAGAATTTTACTCTAAATAGCCCGTTTTTATCTTTTTCTGTTTACATTTCCAAATATCTGAATTGCATGGGTTGTTTATGTAAGCCAAAATTCAGAAGTAACCAAAATAAAAATATTTGTATTAATTGGGGCAGAAAATATGGTGTTGTGATGATATGTTATTGTCTAAAGTGCATCTAACAAGACTCACATCTACTTTATATAACTCAAAAGAAATAACAGGTTATAAATTATGTATGTTTATTTATGGTTTAAAGGGTAGAAATTAACATAAAAAATAAAAGCAACAACAACATAAACTATAAGTTTGTCGTATAATGTAACTGAACTAACACTTGCCCTTTATCACGCTCAAGTACCGCTGAATTCTCAGGACTCTGCTTTCGGTGTTTTGAGTGTTTTCATATACAAACCTGATGCCTGTGTTCATCAACTTTTCACCTCAAAATCGCCAAATGTTACACTTCATTGCATTGAGTGTCCATCCCCATGTCCCCATCTAGAAGTTTCCCTTAGCCACTGCAGTACTTGCCCTGACTTCCTTTTCACTTCACTGTTGGCCTATGACTGCATTGGACCTGGTTGGTTCTATTGGATGTTATCTTGAATATGTAATGAGTTCCACTTAGTGTGTGGTTTGTAGATAGCAGCAAATCTAGTTATTAACACTTCTATATTAATTTTATAATGCTTCACACATAATTGTGACAAATATATTTTATAATTAATAATATATGTCAGTCTCTTTTTGAAGATTTTACAATATTAAAAGAATTTTCCTTTGTACAACTATCAGTAAGGGTTAGCAAGTATAAGAGCTTACATTTAATTGCATTATTTAAATATGAATTAGTAAAGAAGGCTATTTTAAAAGACTTGTTACATTTTATACGCTA